ATACACCAGGACTATTTTGAATTTAATAATAAAATATATAAAAATATATATATATTATTCACTCATATAAAGAAAACTATTATATTGTACCACTTATTTAAAGAAAAACCGAAGTCTCAAATGCGCCAAACCGAAACTAGGAAAGAAAAACATAATAACCATTAAAAATGACCCAGGACAATTAGAAATAAGTAAATCGGATAATGCAAACTCAATTGAAAAGTTCTACGCCGATCTGTACCATTCCAGAAACGATCCCCCTACCTCCTCAAAGTAGAACTGAAAAAGGCAGATAACAAATGTCAACTCAGAAAGGATGCCCAAAATAAGCCACGAAGAAATTGAAAGATCAGTAAAAGAAATAGATAGAAATAAAGCTCCTGGAAGAGATGGAATCCTAGCAGAAATACTGAACTAAAGCGGAGAAGAAGCCATCACATATCTAAATATACTTTTTAATAAATGCCTATTCCAAGGCAACATACCCAAACAATGGAATACTGCTAAAACAATACTAATACACAAAAAGGAAGACACCACAGACTTGAAAAATTATCGACCAATTTCACTTTTTTCACAACTTTACAAAGATTATTACAAACAGGTTAACAATTAAATTTGACGGACATCAACCAGTAAAACAAGCCAAATTTAGAAAAGGGTGCAGCACCTGTGACCATCTATATACTTTAAAAATCCTAACAGAAAAGACTAACGAATACAATCTCCCATTATGTCTGGCTTTTATAAATTATGAAAAAGCTTTTGATAGCCTAGAACGGTGGGCAATAGAAGAAGCATTAGTCAACAACCGGATCGACTCCAGGTACAGAATATTAATACATAATATTTACGAACAAGCTGAAATGATAGTGACGTTGGGTAATGGAATGAACACAAGACCAGTAAAAAATCAACCGAGGAGTAAGATAAGGAGACACAATATCTCCAAAATTATTTACAGCTGCCCTAGAAGATATCTTTAAATCAATAGACTGGAAAAATAAAGGAACAATAAAGAAAGGATAGAGATAGAACACGTAGATGAATATACATATCTGGGTAAAAATGTCAAGAAGCAAAGAGGATCAGACTACCGAAATAAGCAGACATGTAAAAATGGGATGGGTACCATTCGGAAGGCTCTTATACGTACTTAAAAATAAAAATATACCTCAAAGACTGCAAACCAATGTGTTTAATTTTTGTATACTACCAGTACTTACATATGGAGCTCAAACCTAGACATTCACTAAAATAAACATGAAAAAGTTTAGAAAAACTCGGACAGCTATGGAACGACAAATGCTGGGTATCTCACTCAAAGACCATAAAACCAATGAAGAAATTCGTAATAGAACAAAAGTAAAAGATGCTGTCGAACAGACAGCTAAACTGAAATGGAAATGGGCTAAACATAACGAACGTCTTACGCATGGGCGATGAAATAAAGAAATCGGGAATTGGTAGCCATATGAGGCCAAAAGACCACGAAGAAGACCGCAAATGCGATAGAGCGACGATATTAAAAGAACTGCAGGGCCAATGTGGAAATGTCTTACAAACAACAGAGATGAATGGCGAGAATTAGAAGAGGGCTATATTCGCCAATCCGAATAGAGAAAAAGGGGCTTAATAAAAATTATATCACTCATAGTCATATTAAATTTATAATAGAAACAGAACATAATTAATCCATAAATTTTCTAGATTTGAAAATTATCAGACTTAATGAGTTTCCGTATCTTATAAACCTACCCATACTGATACGACTATACACAATTCATCATCCCATCCTACACAACATAAATTGTTGGCCTAGAAGCAACTTGATCGAGACTTTAATATCATTAAGCAAATAGAAGTAATCAATGGATACAACGAACAAACAATAAATAAAATTTTAAATTAAAAACTACATAAGAAAACTCTGAAAAAACTCAGTACCTTCTGCTCAATTATATATATATATATATATATACAGGCAAGATATCAACAAAAATAGAAAAATACATAAAAAAGAAAGGAAGGAGACCAGCTTTCAGAACAAACAACAACTTAGGCAAATATATTACAAACAACAAGGACCAAAAGAAAAAGCACTTACTCACTGATGTATACAAACTTAAATGTGGTGACTGTCCACAAACTTATATCAGTCGAACTGGTATAACTTTTAACAAACGGATAACAAAGCACAAAAGGGCTTTCAATAAAAAACAGATTCTACGTAAGCACTTCACCTGCTAGACCATAGCTATTCTGTTAATAACTCTCTGAATGACCAACTTGAGACAAACAGGTCTTTCCTTTTAACTTATTTAGTGGAAGACTATAAAGGCACTATGCTGAAACAACTGTAGTGATAACAAATTATAATTAATTTTGTGGAAGTTTTGAAAACAAAAGTTTTCATTGTTTTATTATTATTTAATATTTCTTTATCTTATAATTTTCTTGTTCTATGGCATTTTCCACAGGCTATTCTTTTTCTTGTAGGTTTTTTTATATAATATTGGTATATTTTGAGACTCACTTTTCATCATCAGTTGGCACTACAGCCCTTCGTGAGCCTTGGCCTGCTTCAAAACATTCTTCCATCCTCCCCTATCGAGTGTCTTTTTTCTCCAGCCCCTCACTCCAATCTCCCTCAGATCTTCCTGTACATCGTCCAGATATCTGAGTTTGGGTCGCCCCCTTCTTCTTCTTCCGACCGGCCTGTTTAGCATAGTTATTTTAGTGGGATCACTCTCATCCATCCGCATAACGTGGCCCACCCACCTTAGGCGGTTTATTTTGATGTTCCTGGCAATATCTGCATCACCAAAAAGTCTATAGAGTTCTATAGACTTTTAGGCGATATAAGTTATATCGCCTTCTCCATAGACCCTGTTCGTTTACTCCTCCATATATGGTACTCAATACTTTTCTTTCAAAGACTCGTAGTAACTCTTCCTCTCGGGTCGTCATTGCACATGTTTTCGATCCGTATGTGAGCACTGGGCGTATTATTGTTTTATAAAGTTTGCACTTTGTTGCTATTGACATACTTCTCGCTCTTAGTTGAGGGCCCAAGCCAAAATACCAGCGGTTAGCCAGGCATATTTTTTTTTTTATCTCGTTGGATGTGTTATTTTTATAGTCTACCAGTGATCCTAAGTAGCAGAATTCTTCTACCATTTCTATCGTTTCGCGTTGCACCTCTAAGTTATTTTGTTGAATCAGAAGTCCGATGTTTTCTGCGGCATTTTTGATACGTGTGACAGCCTCCACTGCTTCATTTTGAGTTCTTCCAATTATGACGATATCATCAGCGTATGCTATTATTTGTATACTACGGGTATATATCGTACCTTTTAAGTCTATTCCCGAATCTCTCATAACTTTTTCTAATGCTAGGTTGAACAGCGTGCAGGATAGCGCATCTCCCTGGCGCAGTCCTCTGTTGGTTTTAAATGGTTTTGAAACATCCCCTTGTACGCGCACTTTAGATTCGACTTTCATCATTGTCATTTTAATTAATTCTACCAAACGTTTTGGTATTCCCAATTTGATCATCGCCGAATATAATTGGGACCTGTAAATAGTATCGTAGGCGTTCATTAAGTATCAAGGACACAATTTTGTATGCTGTATTAAGAAGGGAAATATCTCTAAAGTTGGAACATTCAAGAACGTTTCCTTTTTTGTGTATGGACCATATAATTCCAGTATTCCAATCTTCTGGTAACGCGCGTTCTTGCCATACCTGTATTAGTAGTTTGTGAAGGAGGGTTACAAATATTCGACCGCCACATTTAAATATTTCTGCGGGTGGGTTGTCTGCTCCGGGTGACTTGTTTCTGGCTAGAGACTGAATTGCTTTGTTTATTTCTTCCAAAGTTAGTAGTTCAGTATCCTCCTGTTCTATTTCTAGATCATATCTACCTTTAGCTCTACTTTCTCCATTACGTAGCGTACTAAAATATTCCTGCCATCTTTCTAGTACTTCCACTCTCTCGTTTAAAAGAATTCTGTTAAGGGCCTTGACTTGGTTCGCTTGTGTCTTGAAAACTTTTCTTTTTGTGTTAACCTGTTTGTAAAATTTTCTGTATTCGTGTTCTCTATTAAGGTTTTCCATTTCTTCGAACTCTTTATTGATTTGTTGCCGCTTTTTCTGTTTGCGTTTTTGTTTTTCCTCTCGTCTCTTTACTCGATATTCTTCAATATTCTTCGATATTCTATTGCTCCTAGTCCTTCTGTTGATCATTTTCAGATACGCGTCGTTCTTCTCTTTCGTTACTCGTTGGCATTCCTCATCAAACCAGTTGTTTCGCTGTCCTTTGGGTACTTCATCCAGCACTTCCTCTGCAGTCTCTTTGAGCGTGGTTTTCATAAACTCCCAATTTGTGTTAAGTTCAGTGGGATATACCTCACTTCTGGGATGTTCTGATATTTTACGATCTAAGCATATTTGGAAGTTTCTTACGACTTCAGTACACTTTAATTTATCAACATTATATTTGATGATTTTTGGTTTAGTTTTATCGTTCCTGGCGTTTGATATACGTGCTCTGAGACGTCCAGCTATGAGATAGTGATCGGAGACTCACTTTTGGTTCATTTAAAACATCAGGAGTAGCTTGACAGGCTGTCGTTTGCATTAATGATGTTATCTAATTTATAGGTGTTACGAAGTAACGTGTTTCTTTTAATTTTTTGTTTTGTGTCGATGCTATTATTTATTGCCTTTTAATATTCATTCCAAATATTCTGCTTTGTGCATAATTTAGGCAGTGTTTTCTTGAAAATAGAAGTACTTAATGTACTTATAATGGGGCTGTAACCTGAACAATATCAAGATTTTATTTTATATAACAATAAATCTCAGATATTGGGGAAAGTACTACTCTTGTCGAAAGGTGATCAAGAAGTTTTAATCATAAAAAATGTTTTTTTTTATTTTGCTATTTATTTTTTAAACATAAAACGATAAATTAGTCTAATATCCATGTACAAACCTGATCTAAATCTGGTAATTCACTGAGCCAACAATTTCTTATATTTTTCGCGTCTTGATAATTATTTACATCACAACGAGAATGAAAGTCATTTGATTTAAATGGAACTGCAGGGTAGGATAAAGAACCAATGTCACTTGAGTGTCCAGCGGTACCCCTACCAGATGTCCCAGACATATGATTGAAAACAGCATCGACGTAGATTCTGTGAAGAAGTATTTTATTTAATTAAAAAAGTAAATGGAAATAAAAAGACAATGGATAATGTAGAAAAAGCATATTTTATCAAAATCAAATGAGGTCGAATAAAAAACGAATATTATAAAAGTAAAAAAAAAATAAACTAAAAAAAAGTGTGGCACTTACAAAATTAACAAAAGAGTTAAGACTTACTGTCTTAAGCTAAAAATAATAGAGAGGTAAACAAAGAAAAAAAAATACAGGCTATTAAAGGAAGAAATTATGCATCGACACTCAAAAAGCATTAGGGCTTAAAAATAATTAGTTTTTTTAATGAAGGTGGATTTACCAATACAATTTTGAAACTTCAGGTAACAATCATAAATACTAACAATAATTTTTTGAACTATAAAGTATCCCATACAATGAAGACCATCCTTTTACTTTAGATTGACATAGAGTAGACTCTAAAAAACAAAAAAAAGATGGTTTAGAATATCAAGTGGAAGATATTTTGTTTTTTACTTATTTTTCTTTGTAATCGGATCCGTCGGATCGGAATCGTTTGTATATACTTGTAGGCTATTTAACGTATTTTAACTAATATATTATAATAATAATTATATTGATTGAATTATCCTTGTCATCAGTTGTCCTTTCAAATAAACTGTTTTTATATGGCAAGAAAATCTTTAAAATGTATGGAGTCGCTAACACAAGATTTCTCATTTTAATTCTTTGACATAAAGAAATTTTTCTTGTTCCCACTTGTTTGGTGAAACTTCCTGAAGCTTTATGGAGCACTACATAAGGGATGACAACTGCGGCAGCATAGCAGATATCATGCAGAACTCTGTTTGAGACTTTAACATGTTCAATCCCCGGCATCTGCGCCAACTGTATATCTACTTATTTAGCTACAATCCATCCAGCTAGCATCTGAAGCCCTCAACAAGTAATGCTGTGTATTACATGAAGACATAAGTATAAATTTCAAATTTGTAAAACTATAGACAAGATTTGCTTTGTTTTCATTTAATACTAGAACTACATTTTAATTTTTTTAATGTGCTATAAATATGAATAGTTAATATCATGTTTTATTTATCCCAGCCAAACACATCTTTTAGATTTGTCATTAAGATACGTTCTCATACCTGAGAGACTGAGCTAGACGAAGCCTTAACAATTGGCTCTCAAAGAGTGTTGGAGTTTAATCGTTACACATTGGCTCCCAAGTTTCATAAGGTGCTACAACACTCCAATAATACCCTATAAGTTTATTTAAAGTACGAATCAACGTAGTAATTATTTAAATGTGCATGTTGACTTCGTTCATTAAATCGCTGGGTTTGTTTTTTTTTTTGAAAAAAGAAAAATCAATCACCCAATCCGGGACACGATCAATAAAATAATATGATAAAACATGGGCAAATACGGATTTACAGAGGAGGCCTCCCAATGAGAATAAAAAAAATATTATAATCATATTTGCAGTTTAAACTTTTATAGTTTTCTCTAAATTTGAAATTCATACACAATAACAACATTCTAGAAAGAGGGGAAGAACAACGCCTGAAAGGAAGCCTTAGGGAAAATAGTATTAAACTTGTTAAAACAACTGCACTTGGATACATAGAAATGTGTAGGAATCGATATTGACAGTTGAAGTGTAATGAGCTCTGAAGCAGTCGGAGCAAGAACAAAAATAAAAAAGGTCGGAACAAATGCAGTTAGACTAGTGATTGCCTAAATCATATTTTAAACAACTCAATTTCAACTTCTATTAATGTATAGTCCATCACGAGAGAAAACTCGAATATCTGGGGCATATAATGAGAGAAAGCAGATACAGGATAATGCAGTTGATACTCAACGGAAAGTAGGTGAAAGTTGGAAGAAGAGGAATTGGTAGAAAGAAATATTTATGGCTCCGAAACCTTCGTCAATGGACTGGCTTATCAGCAGATAAATTATTACATGCCGTGCAAGATCGAGAACGATATCGGCAAATCGTCATGGAAGCTACCCACGCCTAAAACTTGGGCACGGTACTCAAAGAAGAAGATAGTCCATCACAAACACAATGAAAACAATAAAGGTAGTAATATTATTTTTTAACATATCAGCCAAGTTCAATGAAATTTTAAAACTGAAACGTGGACAAAATCTTACAAGTATATCCAAAACCAGATGGGTTGAGCGCTATTAAAGCATAATCCAATTCAGATTTGTCATTTTACATATAATTGAATCACTAATATATATCTCAACACTGAAGGATCCCAGGACTGCTACATTTGCATCAACTTTGCTTAATTCTTTATACACATCTGAGTTTCTAGTGTCAATGATGTCACTGAGTGACATACTAAAATTAACATTGCCACATTCCTTGGTATATATTGAAATCAAATAATACTATTACCCATTATACCTATTATAATGAAAATACCCAAAAGTGATTTCAATACTTTTATTTGCGTCGCCGAGGTTGCTAATAAACACATTTTTACAATTTGTTTATATTTCACAGATGCGTTTTTTCTCGGTATTTCTTTTGATCAAAGCCGCTTAATATTCTGCGTTTCAAATAAACATTCATTTAGATCGCTGAGAAGGTTTTACCGGAAAGATGATTGCGACACACTCGCTGAGGCGTTTGTCAAAAGCAGTTAACGTCAGGGCCAGTCCAAATTTCGCATCAAATTTGCAATATTTTCTTGTTTTTCGATCCTTTTCATGGAAAATATGTAGTAAGTAGTTAGTAGTTGCAATTATAAGTGAGGTTTGAAAGTTTTTTAAAAAGCCAAGTCCAAGGTTTGCGTTTAGTGCCATTTCAACATCAATGTTAGTCCCTGGTCGTTGTTCCAGACTATACATGCAGTCTTTTTGTTCGTGTGAGAGAGATTCCCAGTCCAGTTTCTGCCCCGAGAAATTTTAGTAAGTTCAGTTTACAACTTAAGTGCATTTTAGTAAAATCCAAGTCAGTTTTTTGTTTTAATAATTAATATTTTAAATCTTACGGAGTGGCCTTAGCTGTCATTTTAATTGTTCTGTTTCAAAATTTAATGTTGACATATAACAGATTTTTTGACATTAGTTTGTTTTGTTTTTGGAAAAAGGTTAACCTCTATGAATAGTCTCGTTTAAAAGATAATTCTTTATTTTTAATTACTTATTTCTGCCACAGTTTATAGCCCAGTAACAATTTTTTGTAAGTTTTGTAGCATCTCCGACTTGTACAGAGTTTGTAGACGGATAGGACATGTTATTTTGGTATAATTTTTTGTAACTATTTATATCGTAATTATTTTTATATTATCTCTATTTTTAACTGTTTGTGGTGAGACAACAATAAATGTTAATTTTTTTCCCCAACCATTTTGTTTATTTTTCTTTAACTAACCTAACGTTAACTCTAACCTCTTTTTTGGATTTTATTTAAAAAGATTTTTTTTTCTTTCTAATAATTATTTTAATAGTTACAACTAGTTTTTGTAATTGTTATAATTTGGCACCTCGAAGTGGCGTCCATTTAAAATAGCTAGAGGTCTTTCTTGTTATTTTGTTTGTCCATTTGTCCAGGAGATTCATGTAAGTACCCCTTTGTTTAATTTTTTTTATAGCTGCCCCAATCTAACCCCTTGCCATTCAACTTATCCACGACCTCAGCTCTCCAAATAAACCCTGAAAGCCGTTCACATAAGTTTCGTTTATTCTGCTTGCCCCGTCTCGATCCCCAGTAATGTCTGTCTCAGTTCTCAACCCACTATTGGTAATACCCTATTTGGTAGGCAAAATATTTCGTTACAGTATTAGTTTAATTTTTTTGCGGAGGTAGTCGAATGCTGCAAAAAGGGCGGGACGGGACGTACCGCGTGCATCATTAAGTGACCAATATTAAACTATCGTAAAATAGTTTCGAAACACAATTCAGATTTCTGCTCTATAATCTGAGCCTTCTAAGAATTGCAAGGCAAACAGACGTTGATAAAAGATGTTAAAAGAGACATGGGGAATCTAAAATTTGCATTTCACGACATGTCTTTTACAACTAAGCAGAAATCCTTAGCGAATTGTGTTTCTCGTACTCCCACAGAGTATATCCGAATAAAATGAGAAAAGGCAGCAAATATTTGATTTCACGCAAACAAATCCTATGTATCTCTTGATACGTATTTCGACCTAAAAGGTCTCGTCAGAAGAGCTATTCATAGGGGTTCTCAACGTGAAAAATCAATATTTTCTGCCTTTTAAGAAGCAACAATAACATGGCTTCAATACGGACGCAGTAGCGACATCTAATTAAACAATCGTAAAATAGTTTCGAAACACAATTCAGATTTCTGCTTTATAATCTGAGCCTTCTAAGAATTGCAAGGCAAACAGACGTTGATAAAAGATGTTAAAAGAGACATGGGGAATCTAAAATTTGCATTCCACGACATGTCTTTTACAACTAAGCAGAAATCCTTAGCGAATTGTGTTTCTCGTAATCCCACAGAGTATATCCGAATAAAATGAGAAAAGGCAGCAAATATTTGATTTCACGCAAACAAATCCTATGTATCTCTTGATACGTATTTCGACCTAAAAGGTCTCGTCAGAAGAGCTCTTCATAGGGGTTCTCAACGTGAAAAATCAATATTTTCTGCCTTTTAAGAAGCAACAATAACGTCTTCTGACGAGACCTTTTAGTTCGAAATACGTATCAAGAGATACATAGGATTTGTTTGCGTGAAATCAAATATTTGCTGCCTTTTCTCATTTTATTCGGATATACTCTGTGGGAGTACGAGAAACACAATTCGCTAAGGATTTCTGCTTAGTTGTAAAAGACATGTCGTGGAATACAAATTTTAGATTCCCCATGTCTCTTTTAACATCTTTTATCAACGTCTGTTTGCCTTGCAATTCTTAGAAGGCTCAGATTATAAAGCAGAAATCTGAATTGTGTTTCGAAACTATTTTACGATTGTTTAATTAGATGTCGCTACTGCGTCCATATTGAAGCCATGTTATTGTTGCTTTTTAAATGGAAGAAAATATTGATTTTTTACGTTGAGAACCCCTATGAATAGCTCTTCTGACGAGACCTTTTAGGTCGAAATACATATCAAGAGATACATAGGATTTGTTTGCGTGAAATCAAATATTTTGCTGCCTTTTCTCATTCTCATTTTGACCAATATTATTTACCGACCAATATTTTTTATGCTATTTTAATTTCATAATCTAAACTACATTTCTTTCTTTGCACTTTTTGGAGTTCGGGCTATGGAATTTTAGGTTAAAATTTGCTGATTTTTCGTTGCTAGATAAATGAAAATACTTTAAAATCGGTAAGTTTTAAATGTCTTTATGGCACTCAGAAGTGTGTGAAAAGCACCCTAAAACTCTAGTTTTTAAGAAATATCCCCCAGACCCGCCAAAAAAAGTCCATTCCTCCCCTTCCCCGAAAATCGGTCCTGATTCCACCCTTCAAGTGATTAGGGATGGATCGAATATAGATAAAAGAGAGAGCTGAATTGTTAATGAATGTTTTATAATTTGTTGAATATCCCGTTCAACTATATCTATTCGTTTTCGCAATAAAACACATACTTCTTTCACTACTAATTAATGAACTGTACTTTGACTTCGTGATAAAATAGCGTATAGTAATTCATGGATTAATTAAATAACAGAACCATGAAATATAAGGAAAAAGGAAAATAATATGGACTAAAATATACAATATGAGGAAATAAAATCAAGACCTTGAAAGAACAAGGAAACAGAAAATGAGAATTAAGGAAAGAAAAGGCTAAAATATGTTTTATCATTTTCTAAGATTTTCACTTAACAAGGAAAATAGTGCATTAGTGCATTTAAAATTGTACTAAAAAATTTTATTCGAATATAATGAAGATGGCCAAGTTTTGCTTAAGTACAAAAAAAATTGTGAGTAAAAATTAGTGGATTACTCTATATTTGAAGACTCTTAATCCTGGATATACTTATTCTTATTATTACCTGACTCCTACGTTACTACAACGTCGCACCATATCAACAAATGCACTTTCATTTCCAGATCTGGTAGTGAGTTGGTAACTTACTGGTTGGTATCGTTCCCACCATGGTCTGTTACTTATTACGGAATTTTCATTTGGTGGAGATACCTAAAATAATTTTTAATTAAGTAACTATTATTTTGTTTTTATTAAATAAATGTAAAAACCCTTGGCTAATAAGATTCTGAGCTATTTTTTTAATAATAAGTTTACCAAAAATTGAGCAAATTTTTGTGCTTGGCACGAAAAGTGGAAGGTTTAATGTTTTTATTACAAGACGTGTAACAAAAATCATAACAAGTGGGAGTATATTTAAAACTGACAATAAAAAGATTAACTTCTTCTCTTCCTCTTCTTTTTATGTAGACATGACAGTCTGTTTTTTAATGTGCCTCCAGTAAGTTGTCGTTCCATCGTTTTCTTGGTCTCCCTACTGATCGTCTGTCTATTGCGAAACCGTCTATTACTGTCTTTACTACTTTATTTGCTGTTATTCGTCTTCTATTTCAAATAGAAGACGCATACCTTGGGGTGCAATCAATTGCACAATGCCTAACTCCAAGGCAGTTAGAAAAAAGAGTATTTTGTTGAACAAAATAATTACGTCTAGAGGGGGCAGTTAAAAATTTAAGATTTTGACAAATATATATCGAATGGTTATTCAACTTACAATAGCTGCATGATTTAGATGTAGTGTAGTTCTATCGGTGCTTATCTGAAAAGGAGACCTTGTCTCGTTTTGGGGTTTATGTTTCCGTTTGAACTTTGCTTAGAGATCTTTGAGCTGTTTTGCTCTATCGACTATCCTCGTTAGAAATTGGTTAAAATTTTTAAGTTTATTTGATTCTAGTAAATATTCAATAGATCTGGAAGTGGCATAGTCTAGTTTAGAGGAAGTAATGTGAATTAAAATTTAATTAGCTTTGGTTTTTGGATGACAGATTAAGATTGTTTAACGCTCTATATGCATTTGTTATCGCGAGAGTAAAGTCTTTTACTTATGAGTATCTAGTATTGTTTTGTAGACTTTAAATATCTGAAATGTTAGATATTTACTGCTTTATGATAAGACGAGGGGCTTTTGAGATACATAAATATTCCAATATCGGTCAAACAATCGTCAGCGTGGATGATTAAACTTTTGAAAGAATGATTGAAACAAATTTAAATTTTCGCCAAATTTAATAATTTTCAGTTTTAAAAGCCTGATTGCCTTTGTCTAGTGTTAGCTGTAATGCTAATACTATGACTGGATCATTGCATAAATACCTAATACTCGCTCCAGTTTTTATTTTGAGTAATATGAGGCATCCATATATTTTTTATATTTAACATCTTCGTCATGCTCGAGAGTACATTCATCATCAAAAAGGTTTTCTAAAGCTTCTGAATTAGGTTTAAATTGAAAACTGAACTAATTGTGTCTGATTTTGGATGACATCAAAATGTAAGTCCTTTGAGAGTATAAAATTCTTGTTTATATTTTATTGTCTATTTTATAGATTAACAACTGTTGTAAACGTCTCCCATTTATTTTTAGGTTTTCTTACGTAATGTTTATTTTTTTATTCTAAAAGATTTTAAAATATATAACACGTTGTATGATATATGAATGTAGCTAACTAGAAGAACAACGTTGATCCAATTGGACATAGCCTCGACTTAAAATCAGAATATCAAGTCCCTTATGGTTTTTTATGTAGATTAATACCACAGGACAATGAACGTTCGAACAAGGTTACCTAAGAGTTTATATATGATTTGAAACTTTGATATATGATTTATATACTTTAATATATGATTTCACGATACTATGCTATGCCGATGATGGAGTACTAATTGCTGATAACAAAGATAACCTACAAAGGCAGCTCCACACCTTCAATATCACAGCAAACAAACTTAATATGAGAATATCAGTAGAAAAAACTAAATGTATTCTTCTTAAGGTGCCGTGCATTTCTGCGTAGGCGTTAACCGTACATTGTCTTGTCAGGTGAGATGTTAAATAGTCAGGATTCAATAATTCTGTTTTTAGTAGCATTGTGAAGCATTTCATAGCTGTGGAGTCCATTGTCGAATATTGCGCAACCATAACATTTTTTTACGTCCCATACCTCTCCTATCCAAATCATACATAGAAAAATTATTTGCATCTAACAGGACTGATGATCACCTATATGGAGAAGGAGAAACAGGACCTTCAATTCTTAAATCGGAGATAGAAGATGCCATTGCAGCACTAAAAAACAATAAGTCAGCAGGTCCGGACAATGTACCCTGCGAAATATTAAAGATCCTATGTAAATCAGACAAACAGTTCCTTGACAATCTAGTTGTACTTTTTAACAACATATATAATAGCGGTAAAATCCCAGAGAACTGGCTACAGTCAACATTTATTACAATCCCGAAGAAACCAAATGCCCAGATTTGTGATGACTACCGGCTCATAAGCTTGATCAATCATGTCACTAAAGCGTTCACTAAGATCATTCACAGAAGAATATATGATAAATGTGAGTCAAATATTGATAGATCGCAGTTTGGTTTTCGGAAAGCACTTGGAACTAGAGAAGCAATTTTCGCTCTCCAGGTGCTTATACAACGGTGTAGAGACGTTGATAAAGACGTGTATCTGTGCTTTGTAGATTTTAGAAAAGCATTTGACAATGTCAATCATGAACAATTGATAGGTATTCTGCGAAAGACAGGTATTGACGACAAGGACATTCGAATTGTGGCAAACCTATACTGGGGTCAAACAGCAAGAGCAAAAATTGGCAACGAACTCACTGAAAGCGTGCAGATCAAAAGGGGTGTCCGTCAGGGGTGTATATTATCCCCACTCCTATTCAATATGTATTCCGAGGAAATATTTAACAAATGTATGGAAAATGCAAATGAGGGCATTAAAATAAACGGCGAGTTAACGAACAATATAAGATACGCCGACGACACGGTGATCCTTGCCAGTACCATAGACGAATTACAACAAGTAATGGAAAGACTTTATTCAGTTAGTGAGGAATACGGCCTGAGCCTCAACTTCAAGAAGACAAAGTGGATGCTGATAAGCAAAAAGCAACAACCTGCTCGACAATTACGGATAAGTAACATATTAATTGACCATGTAGAATCTTATGTGTACCTTGGCACCAACGTAAATGCAAAATGGGAACAGACCATAGAAATTAAGGCGAGAATAGAACGAGCTAGAGCAGCATTTAGCAATATGAAAAAGCTCCTCATAAGCAAGGATTTGTCTCTTCCCCTAAAACTACGTATAGTTAAATGCTACATTTTTCCGATCTTGCTGTATGGCGTGGAGGCCTGGACGCTAACGAGAAAACTAGAAGCATTCGAAATGTGGGTGTACCGACGCATTCTTCGTATATCCTGGACCGAACATGTCACCAACATAGAGGTACTCCAAAGAATCGGAAAGGAGAAAGAAATCGTGAATACAATTAAACAAAGAAAGCTTGAATATCTAGGCCACATATTGAGACACGATAAGTACCGTCTGCTACAATTGATTGTCCAGGGAAAAATAGACAGTAAGCGAGGGCCAGGCAGGAGAAGACACTCGTGGCTCCAAAATCTGCGGAAGTGGTTCGGGCTCACATCGGTCGAACTATTCAGAAGCGCCGCAAACAAGATCAAAATTGCCATGTTAATAGCCAACGTTCGCAACGGACAGGGCACTTGAAGAAGAAGAAGAATACCTCTCCTACCCTCTATCTTCCCTTCGAGTATCAGGTGCTGAAAAGTGTATCTTTCTCCTCGTAATATATGCCCCAAGTATGCAGTCTTCTTTACTTTTTACATAACTATCCTGTAAGCCCGCTATTCTGAGTACTTCCTCATTTATGACTCTCTCCGTCCATGACATTCTAAGCATTGGACACAGGCACCACATTTCAAACACTTTAAGTTTGTTAATGGAACTGGCCTATAACGTCCATGCTTCCATTCCGTATAAGAGAACAGGCCACACGTAACACTTAAGCATCCTGTATCGGAGGTTGAAGTCCAATTTGCGATCATTTAGAAACTTACGAAGCTTGTTCTGGCTTGTTCAACTCTGCTCTTTATTTCATTCTCGGGGTTCCAACCCTCGTTCAGCAAACAACACAAGTATTTAAATTGCATGACCTGTTCGATTTATTCTCCAGAGACATATATATTTGCGTTTGGGTAATCATTTGTACTTATAATCATTGTTTTTGTCTTCTTGATATTTATTTTCAAACCCCGAGCTTCACTTGCAAGAGTTAGATCATTTAAAAGGCATTGAAGATCTTCCATGTTCTCTGCCACTATAGCTGTATCATCGTCATACCTGATGTTATAAATAAAGATGCCGTTAACTTTAATACTCTTATTAGAGTCTGCCACTGCTTCTGCGAAGGCTTTTTCTACGTATAAATTGAACAGCATTGGAGACAACTCCAATAAACTTTGGCAACCTTGCCTTACTCCTTTTTTAATAAAGAAATCTTCTGTTTCGTTAAAATTTTGAAGACGTACTGTTGCTGTCTGGTTCCAATACAGATTGGCGATAATTCTTATATCCTTATCCTTATCTACTAAATGTATAGTGATCAGTAAAGAGCCGCGTAGATGCAAACTAGAAATCGACGGCAAAATTGTAGAACAAGTAATAAAATTCAATTACCTAGGAGTGGAGATCACTAGTGACAGGGATATAAGAACAGAGACCACAAGGCAAGCATCAAAAGCGGCCAGAGTAAGTGATTGCCTCCGAGAAACCACATGAAGAAACAAATATCTGACAACGGAAAGCAAAATGAAAGTATACAAGACAACAGTAAGACCAATCCTAACATATACAGTGGAGACACGAACCGATACAAGAAAGACGAAACAATAAATCAACAATTTCGAAATGAAACTATTAAGATCAATAGCGGGTATATCATTAAGAGACAGACAAACCAACAGAAGTATACTCGAACAATGCAAAGTTCAAAATATTAACAGGTAGATAAAAATAAGAAAAAAAACTGGAACGAACAGGTAAACCGAATGGGACCAGATAGACTAGCAAACATCTGTAAAAAAATCAAACCGTATAGCAGATG